CTTGTCGTCTGGCGCCGCGGCCTGACGGCCAGTACACGTCGCCCGAAGGAGATGGATGCGTCCCTGATGGCCTTGCGCAGTAAGGCAAGACGCTGAACCTCGCGCGTGGCAGCCTCACCAGCAAGGAGGGAGTGATCCTGCTGTGCCACTGCGTAGGACCAGCCTGGGCGCGGCACCAGCTCAGACGAAATGGGCCTGTCGCTCGATGGTCTTGGCGGCGGTGCCCGGCGCATGAAGAACACGGCCTTGTGGTTGGACAAATTAAAGTTCCAGTCGACCACGCCGATCGCGACCTGCCGGTCCAACAAATCCGCGGCCTCCATGTTCACGTAGATCCGGTCGAGGCGCGAGCGCGCCTGGGCACCACTGTGCGTCGTGCAGGGCTAGTGCACTTCGGTGAAGCCTGGCAGGAAGATTGCCCAATACCCCTCCTCCTCGCGGTCCCGCTTTCCGGTCGCGAGTCCTCCTCCTCCGTCTCCTCCCTATGCCCCTGCCCCTGGCCTTCTTCGCCTCCTCCTCCCCATCCCGCCTCTTGCTCCTGCCTCCTGCTTTTGCCTCCTCCTCCTCCCCCCCTCCTCTTCCTCCTCCTCCTCCTCCTCCTCCTCCTACTCATCTTCTCCCTCCTCCAACTACTGGGGGCCTCCGCCGGTGAACGATACAGCAGCGACCTTGCGAGGATGTCTCGAGCAAGAGCCCAAGACTGGGACACGCCCGGCGCGCCTGGCGCGCCAGGTTTTCTCGGACGCGCCGGGCAACGACTTGCGAGGACGTCTCGAGCGAGAACCCCCCCGTGACACACCCGGCGCGCTACCCGGAAATGGCTGCGGCAGGGCCTGACTTTCTCACGCGCCTGGGGGTCGAAATTGCGAGGATGTCTCGAGCGAGAACGCCGGACTGTGGAGAACGCCCGGCGCGCTCCCTGGAATGGCATCCCGGGTCGCGGCGGGGTCTCACCTTGGAAGGCGCGGCTATTTTTTTCAGCCGCGTTTAGCTGGGACGTTGCTCTCGCCTCAGCGCGGTGCAAAAATGATTGATATTACAAGTTTTAGCCGGGAATAGCCGCCGGTGGTTCTCGCTTCGGCGTGGCTCACGAGTGGCTAAACGTGTCTAAAGATGTAGACATGTCTTAAGAAATGCCGTGTCTAAGAAGTCCGTGTCTAACCGTGGCTATTCGTGGCTAAAATTGATGTAATGCTATGGCTATTTCGTGGCTGAACGTCGCTCAAATCCGATCACGTTGAAGGGCGATTCAGACGGGGGAAACGCCAAACATCGCAGCTGACTCCAAAGACGAAGCAAGACAAGACGCCCGCCTTTGATGGGGAGGCATGGGGGGATGCATGGCCACAAGAGGGCCCAAGAGAGCCGCGAGGAAACCCCGAGGCCTCGTCTTCTTCCTCCTCCTCCTCCTCCTCCTCCTCCTCCTCCTCCTCCTCCTCCTCCTCCTCCCGGCGCGTGCACGTGTCGGGAGGTCGACTTTGCGAGGATGTCGAGCGAGCGAGAGCCCCCGGACTGGGACACGCCCGGCGCGCCTGGCGCGCTCCCCCGAAAAATATATAGTCCCTGTGGGGGCGCGGCGGGGCCTGACTTTCTCACGAAACGGGGGGTCTCCCCCAGAAGTGGCCCCTGGGAACGCGGCGGTGCCTCACTTTCTCGGGCGGTGCCTCACTTTCTCGCGCGCCGGGGGAATCGACCGAGGATGTCTCGAGCGAGAGTTTTAGACTGGGACACGCCCTGCGCGCCTGGCGCGCTCCCCGGAAATGGTTCTTGGGGGCGCGGAGGGGCCTGTCTTTCTCACGCGCTGGGTGGTCGACTCTGCGAGGATGTCTCGAGCGAGGGCCGGACTGGGACACGCCCGGCGCAAAAAAATTGGCCCTGTGGGGGCGCGTCGGGGCCTGTTTTTCTCACGCGCCAGGGGTCGACTTTGCGAGAGTTCGAGCGAGAGCCCTGGTCTGGGGCAAGCCCGGCGCGCTCCCCGGAAATGGTCCCTGCGGGCGCGGTGGGGCCTGACTTTCACACGCGCCAGGGGTCAGGATGGCGTGAGTTCCACAAAAACTCCCTCATGTTTGGTTTGCTCCTCTGTCCAGGCTGCTGTTTTACCAGGGCGGCTCGGCCCGCGAACCCGCCACCGCGCCTTCGGCGCGCAGGGGTGTGCCCCGAGGCTCATGCAGTCCTGCGAGCTACAGTGGCTGTATAGGCTCTTAAGGGTCCGGGCTTCCGGTTTCCCAGGCGTTCCCGGGCGCTCTCGGGCGCTCTTGGGAACTGGGTTGCGTCGACACCTTTTTGCGGCGCGCCGCGACCTTTTCCCCCGACGCCGCGCCAACTGCGAGGTAAGCGCCAACTGCGAGGTAATTCCCAGGCGTTCCCAGGCGCTCTCGGGCGTTCTTGGGAGCTCCTGGGAACTGTCACGCGGGCCCTCTGGACGCCAGGAGCACCCCAACACGGGCCAGAAGGGTCCCAAGAGGCCCCCACGACGGCAAAAGACCAAAGAGACCCCACGTCACCCCAAGATCGCTCCAAGACGCCCAAGACGGCCTTAAGACGGTCCAGGGAGCCTCCAAGACGCCCTAAGAGGGCCCCAAGAGCACCCCCAAAAGGGCCCCAATAGGCGAAAATCGATGGGTAGGGCAGGCGGTGCCGCCACCCTCCGACGCTTTTTACGCTTCCGACGCTCCCGACACTCCTGACGCTCCTGACGCTCTGGGCACCAGGAGCTCCGCGACGCTTCTGACGCTCCTGACGTTCCTGACGCTCCCGACCCCAGGAGCTTCGCGCCACTTCTGACGCTCCTGACGCTCTGGAACTCAAGGAATGTCAAGAGCTTCAGGAACTTCAGGAACCTTCAGGAGCTTCAGGAGCTTCAGAAGCTTTAGGAGATTCAGGAGCTTCAGGTGCTTCGAACCTTCAGGAGCTCCAAGAGCTTCAGAGGTTCGCGTGGTGTCGGGGCCCGGGAGGCCCCGGCACCACGCGGGAGACCCCAACACCACGCGGGAGCCCCCGACACCACACGAATACGGAGGGTTCGGGTTGCATCGAGGCCCCAAGATCCCGACACCACGCGGGAAACCCCGACACCGCGCGGAGGGCTCCAGGAGACCCTGGCACCACGCGGGGGGCCCCGACACCATGCGAAAACGGAGGGTTCGCGTGGTGTTGGGGTCCAGGGAGACCCCGGGAGACCCCAACGCAGGCCCTGACAACACGCGGGAAAAGCAAGCAACTCAACAGCCAGCCTTAAGTGCTCCAGACGTGCATCCCGTGAAGCGAGAGGAGTCGAAATGGAGAGCGACATCCAACTCGTATGAGTGCTATGGGGATAAAGAGCTCACCCAGACAATGCAAGTGGACAATGGCATCCAGAACCGAAAAAACGGCACATCTACAAACACACCCTCTGTATATATAATATATATATATATATATATATATATATATATATATCCGCCGGCCCCCTTGTGGGGCCACCAGGCTGTAGGCGCGTGATTCGCAGTTTCCTGTACCAGTCGTAGGTTGTAGTTTCCAGTGTTACAGTTCTGCTTCTTGCTGGTTACTGTAACTAGTTGACTTCTTGCTGGTTACTGTAACTAGTTGATTGACCGCGCGAGGGGGGGGGAGGCCCAAACAGGATTTTTAGCCTCACCTAGGCGCGTTGTCTGAATTGCTGGGGGGGCTCGAAATCGACACCCCTCACGCAGATCCGCGGGGTCAGGGTCCAAAAACACAAGGGATTTGCCACATGTCTGAAAATCAATGCCACCCCTCGTGCAGATCCGCGGGGTCAGGGTCAAAAAACACAGGGGATTTGCCACATTTCTGAAATTCGGTGCCACCCCTCACGCAGATCCGCGGGGTCAGGGTCCAAAAACACATGAGATTTGCCACATTTCTGAAATTCGGTGCCACCCCTCACGCAGATCCGCGGGGTCGGGGTCCAAAAACACAGGGGATTTGCCACATTTCTGAAATTCGGTGCCACCCCTCACGCAGATCCGCGGGGTCAGGGTCCAAAAACACAGGGGATTTGCCACATTTCTGAAATTCGGTGCCACCCCTCACGCAGATCCGCGGGGTCAGGGTCCAAAAACACACGGGATTTGCCACATTTCTGAAATTCGGTGCCACCCCTCACGCAGATCCGCGGGGTCAGGGTCCAAAAACACAGGGGATTTGCCACATTTCTGAAATTCGGTGCCACCCCTCACGCAGATCCGCGGGGTCAGGGTCCAAAAACACATGGGATTTGCCACATTTCTGAAATTCGGTGCCACCCCTCACGCAGATCCGCGGGGTCAGGGTCCAAAAACACATGGGATTTGCCACATTTCTGAAATTCGGTGCCACCCCTCACGCAGATCCGCGGGGTCAGGGTCCAAAAACACAGGGGATTTGCCACATTTCTGAAATTCGAACCCATCACGCACATCCATCGCAAGGCGTGGTAACCCAAACTGCGAGAACTCCCTCGGCCCTTTAATCGCAAGGTGTGGTAACCAAGCCCTTAAACCATACACGTCTTACCAATCGCCAGGTGTGGTAACCCCTCTTGTGATCAGTTGGTTTTGCTGATTGCGACTCGGCTTCGCATGAAGTTTCGATACTGCTTCACGACAGCGCCAAGGCCTCATGACTTAGCTCTTCCATGGCCCATTCTCCGAGAGAGGGGGCCGGCGGCAGGGGGCGAAGCCCTTACGGATATATACATATATATACATATATATATATATATATATATCCACATACATACATACACAGACGTGCGTATACACATACATGCATACATACATGTAAGCAAGGACGTTACAGTGAGGTTGATCTATAAATAGTGAGATCGTCGGTTCGGTAGTGAGCTCTGTTGATAGCGTGGCCGAGGGACGGACAAACAATGAATCCGATCAGACACAAATCGCAAACCGACAGCTGCGCCCCCGCCCCCCCGTGCACAACTCCTTATCATACGAAGGGTGGTCGGTGAGGTGAACATGCATTTCTCCCCCGATAACCGATATCGACGTAGACGCCGTTCTCTACGCTCTTGAAAGCAACAACGCCGTCCAAAGTCTCGCCAACTCTCAAGTCCTCCACTGACCTGATCACCGGCAGCCCGTCGACAGACACAAAGACGGTGTCGCCATCCACCTTTAGATAAGACAGAACTTGACGAAGCACACATATAATCATGGATACACATCCTCGGCTATACCTGAAATTCGCACCTCTTTGGCGAAAGAGACAACCATGTGCGATTGCGAATACCGCGATGGTGCGTACCCTCTTCGGTGGAGCTGCCTACGGGGCCACAAAGCGTGTGAGGGGTGTGCCCAAATTCTTCACGCTTCGCTTATCCCCACCAGCTTCTGCGTCAGTGAGCCATGATGAGTCAGGCCCTCCTCTTTTTGCCACTCCTTCTTTTTCTCGTGGTGCTGCCGTGTGCCCTGGCTGGCGTCCGCACTTGCATTTTCCCCTCCCCCCCCGCCTCCTGGCCTCGCCTTCGAGTGTTGTTCGGCCGGAGACTGGCGCCGCCAGGGCGACTTCTCCCCGCCGTTCCAGTGCCGTTCCAGAGCCGGTCGCCGCGCTCGTCCCCACCCGTCGGGATGCTCGGCTCGATCACCTGGTCGCGCTGTACGCGTCTTCGCTTGTGATTGGCTGGAGTTTGGCGCCGAAAGGGCGACTTCTCCCCGCCGTCCCGCCGCCGGTCGCCGCGCTTTGGCGTCCCCACCCGCCGGGATGTCTGCGCCGGTCTTTGGCGTCTAATGTGGGTCATCTTGTCCCTTGCATGTGCATACGCCACTGCGGCCAATTATCTTCGTTCTGCGCCCCGAACGTTGCCCCGCTTCTTGACCTTCGCCAAGGAGCCGCCAACCAAAAAAAAGTATCCCCACCAGCCTCGCTCGCTTCGCTTGCCTTTCTTTTCCTGCTGCCTAGTCGCGGCCCGACTAGTGTTCGGACGGCTTTCGACCCGCCTCGCGAGCCTGTTGACCAAAAAATATCCCCACCAGCCCATTCAGAGACCATGACCTTGAGAGCTGACGGGAAAAGGGGACGAAGAGCCGCGTCTAGTGAAACAAAGCGAGCAACCAGGGTGAACGGAGAGATCTCTGGGAGCAACGGGGAGGCCTTGGAAAGCCTCTTTGGGTTATCTCTGGGGACCGCGTGGGGGCGACGGGGGGAGGAGGAAGACGACGACGACAACGACGACCACGACGATCAGGAAGAGAAGATAGGAACAGGAAGACGATGAGGGCAAGGACGAGGGCGAGGACAAGGAGGACGAGGACAACGGCGACGAGGACCCGTGGAGCTATCTTATGTGGATATGGATTAGGACGAGGAGGAAGACGATGGGGATGAGGGGCACGAGGACGACGAGGACGATAACGCGGATGATGAAGACGAGGACGAGGACGAGGAGGGCTCGGTGCCCTCTTAGGGCTCTTTTGAGGGGTCTTGGAGTTCTCTTGGTGCTCTTTTGGGGGGTCTCGGGGCGCTCTTTGGGACCCTCGGGGAGCCCTCTTGGAGCTCTCTTGGGGCTCTCTTGGGGGCCTCTTGGGAGCCCTGGAGGGCCTCTTGGGGCTGTCGTGGAGGGTGTCGGTGAAAAGGGGGGGTACTAACGTTTGGTTCCACTCTGGGCCATCCAAATGACATTTTGGGGCGCTCTTGGCCCCCTCTTGGGGCGCTCTTGGTCGGTCTTGGGGCAGTCTCGGGGGCACCTTAAGCCACTCTTGGAGCTCTATTGGGCCATCTTGATGCCTCAAAAACTCATTGGCAACGAAGAGGCGAGAAGGTTCTTTTGAGGGCACCTGGAATAGTCTTGCGGCCCTCTTGCGGAGACTTGGAGGCATGGTGGAGGTCATTTGAGCGATCTTGCGCTATCTAGAGCCCTCTTGCAGGTCATCTTGGAGCATCGGATGCCCTCGTGGAGCCATCTTGAGCGAAAAAGGGCCCTTTGATGTATCGCGACCCCCCCCGTCTAGACCCCTGGGAGGTGAGGGGGGGTGAGGGGGAGGGGTTTTGAAAGAGGAAATGAACATATCGTTAGACCACCTATGCCCAGAGGGCAGGTGGGACTAGTGGCGGGGACGCGTGTGGTCACAGCCACTGGGGTCTTCGGTGGAGCTCCCTATGGGTCCACAAAACGTTTGGGGTGTGTGCTGGCATGAATGGCGGGACGCATGCGGTCACAGCCACTAGGGCCTCCGGTGGGGTTCCCCATGGGGGCACGAACCGTGTGAGGAGTGTGCCGGAATGGGTGGCGGGGACGCATGTGGTCACAGCCAATGGGGCTTTCGGCTGCATTCCCAGTGGGGCCACGAAACGTATGAGGGGTGAGCAGGAGTGGATGGCGGGGACGCATGTGGTCACAACCACTGGGGGTTTCGGTTGCGCTTCGTATGGGGCCACGAAACGTATGAGGGGTGTGCTGACATGGGTGGCGCCAACGCATGTGATCACAACCACAGGGGCCTTCGGTAGGGCTCTCCTATTGGGCCACAACATGTGTGAGAGGTGTGCCGACATGGGTGGCGGGGACGCATGTGGTCACAGCCACTGGGTTTTTCGGTGGGGTTCGCTGTGGGGCCACGAAACGTGTGAGGGGTGAGCAGCACTGAGTGGCAGGGACGCATGTGGTCACATCCACTGGGGCTTTCGGTGGGGTTCCTGTGGGGCCACGAAACGTGTGGGGGGTGAGCGACATGGGTGGCAAGGACGCATGTGGTCACCGCCACTGGGGTTTTCGGTGGAGCTTCTCCATGGGGGCACGAAACGTGTGAGGGGTGTGCCGACATGGGCGGCGCCAACGCATGTGGTTACAACTACTGGGGCCTTCGGCGGAGCTCCCTATGGGACACGAAACGTGTGAGGGGTGTGCCGAAACGGGTGGTGGGGACGCATGTGGCCACGGCCACTTGGGCTTTCGGTGGGGCTCCGACAGAGTCCGACTGGGGCCACGAAGCGTGTGAGGGGCATGCCGAAATGGTTGGCGGGGACGCGTATGGTCACAATCAGTGGGGGCTCCGGTGTACCTCCGTATGGGGCCACGAAACGTATGAGGGGTGTGCTGAAATGGGTGGCGCGGACGCATGTTGTCACAGCCACTGGGTCCTCCGGTGGCGCTCCCTATGGGGCCACGAAAAGTGTGAAGGGTGAGCCGAAATTGGAGACGGGGGCGCATGTGGTCACAGTCGCAGCCACTGGGGTTTCCGGTGGCGCTCCTTGTGGGGCCACGAAGCATGTGAAGGATGAGCCGAAACTGGTGACGCGGGCGCATGTGGTCACAGCAACTGGGGTTTTCGGTGGCGCTTGGGCCACGAAGTGCGTGAAGGGTGTGAGGACATGGGTGGCGCAGGCGCCTGTGGTCACAGCCACTGGGGACTGCGGTGGGGCCCTTTATGGGGCCACGAAACGTGTGAGGGGTGTGCCGAAACGGGTGGTGGGGACGCGTGTGGTCACAGGCACTGGAACTTTCGGTGGCGCTTCATATGAGGCCACGAGGCGTGTGAGGGGTGTGCCGAAATGGGTGGTGGGGACGCATGTGGTCACAGCCAATGGGGCTTTCGGTGGCGCTTCTTATGGGACCACGAAACGTGTGATGGGTGGTGTGGTCACAACCACTGAGGTCGTCGGTGGGGCTCCATATGGGGCCACGACGCGTGCGAGGGGTGTCGAAATGGGTGGCGCGGGACGAATGTGATCACAGCCTCTGGGGTCTTGAATGGACTTTCCCTATGGGCCCACGAAACGTGTGAAGGGTGTGCCGAAATGGGTGGCGGGGGCGCATGTGGTCACAACCACTGGGTCCTTCGGTGCGGCTCCCCTATGGGGCAACGAAGCGTGCCAGGGGTGTGCCGAAATTGGTGGCGGGGGCGCATCACTGGGGCCTTCGGTGGGGCTCCCCATGGGGCCACGAAGCGCTGCAGTGGGTGCGCTGAGATGGTTGACAGGCGGAATGCGGAGGCAGGCAGGGAGGAGGGGCGAGGAGGAGAAACAAAAAAACGCGGCCCGCTGTCTTTTCAAAACGAGGGCCCAACACGAAAGGACGGTTGGGAAAAACATCTCCTCGTCCTGTTCCTACTCTTCCCTCCCCCTCCCGCCTCGGCACGATACCCGTTCGACGGCGGACCAATTCGCCCAAATCGGTTCGCCGGCGGACCGCTTCGTCAACGGACCGGTTCGCCGTGGACCGGTTCGACGGCGAACTGGTGAGCTGGCGGAAGGGTTGACATACGGCCAGGCCGCCCTTGACGGGCGCGCGGGCGGGACACTAAAGCGGGCTGGTTGTCACGCGCGCGAGCGGTCCGTCCGAGAATTGATCCGTCGGCGAATCGATCCGTCGGCTAAGCGGTTTTCGGCCAGACGGTCCTCGGCGGAGAAAAACGTCGGCGAAGCGGCCACCGGCGAAACGGCCCAGGCGAAACGAAACGGTCTTGGCGAAACGGTTGTCCCCCTCGCTTTTCCCCTCCCTCGTTCGTGCCCCCACCTCCCTCCCCTGCATTCCTCCTACCAACCGTGCTGCTCCCTCTGCGACATCCCATGCAACTTGGCCCCAAACCTTGCCCCTTTTCGTAAACCAGTACAAAGAATTATGGTGTGCACCAAAAACGCACGTCACAGGTTCTTCGACGCGCATTCCTCGAACAGTACTCGCACTAAGGGTCCCTGACTTCTGTGGTAAGGAAGTGGCTGGGGATTTCAAGTTTTCGCCTGTCGGGCGCCCGTGGTTGCCTGATGGGCGTCGCGTTTGGCCTGCAGGTTTTCTAGTTTTCGACAGGCGGTCGCCTGTGGCCGCCTCGTGTCGGCTGGGAACTCTGGGCGATCGCATGGTGGGCGCCTCGTGGGCGCCTCGTGCTGGCCTTGCTTGTGCCTGCTTGCCGTGGCCGCCTCGCGGGCGCCCCATAAAGACTGGGAGTTCCAGGTTCCTGGGGCTTCTTCCACAGCGTGAATTCCTTCTACGCGCAACACCAGTCGTCACCCTCTTTCGAAACCTGGACTTGAGATTGAAGTTGTTTCAGCCTTCAGGTCAAGCCTAACGCCCTCGAGTCATGGCCTTGGCTCGCCGTCGGAGGCTGCGACGTTCCGCTTGAATCCAGCCGCGGCGACCGCGGCGACAGGTTGTCCCGCCGCGCCGACCCCGAGGCTGAACCCTATAAGCTGACGACGACAACAGACGCATAAAAGACAGCGCGCGCGGATCCCCTCTTGTTGCAGCCTGCGCCTCGCGAGCCAAGAAAACCTCGCGGGGCGAATCTTCGACCTGGATCTTCGGGGGGAAGGGAACGCAAGAGAGGGGCGGGGGTGGCCGCGATGAACCAGGGGCCCCGCGGAATCCAGCGGAAATGCCGCCCGCGCGCCGACTGCGAAGGGCAAAACAACCCCATCCCCGCCTATGAACCCCCCAGCAGAATGCCCTCGGGTGCGGATTTTGCCCCGAGGGCCCGCCACAGGAAAGGAGGGCGGGGGGCACCCGGGGGTTACAAGCAAAGAGGCGCACAGCGTTCGGGAGAAGGGGGGGGGGCGCGGATAAGGACGCCCATCCCATCTGGAATGAGCCTCTGCGCAAGCCTCGTAGGGACATCGGCCCTGCGCGCTGCAGGGCGCCTGCTCCGAACTGAAGTTTTTTAGCTGCGCTGAGCAGCGCCCCCCACAAGTGAGACGCATACGGTCGGGACTCGGGGCGGTCGGTCTCCGCCAGCTCGAACTCTGCGAGCGCGTGCGCACTTGCGCCAACCAGCAATCTCCCGAGTTTGCGGCCATCGACCGCGGCCGAACTCCGCCCGCACATCTCGCCCCCCTCGGCTCCGCGAGCCGGCGCAAAACGCGCCGGGGGGGTAGAAGTCGAGCATGGGGCGCGGGGCCGGGTTTGGCAAGTCCACGCGGCCCTGTCGAAGGCCGTGTCCTGGCTATCGATCCCCACCCCCTGGTTGCAACGAAATGTCCCACTCGCTGAACGAGGTGAGACTCCTGCTCATCATGCCTGTTCCCACCAAAGGCTAGCACACGAAAGCGGCGCGCACCTTCCTTGGCCCAGGCATCGGCATGACTGGTGCCACCTCCTCCTCCCCTCCCCCCTCAAGGGTAACAGTATCGCGACAGGCTTGCAACGCATCCTAAGCCGATGTAGCCCGAGGTACAGCAGAGCAGAAACATAAGAACTGTTTTTGACTTCAACGCGCCATCGAAGGCCTCAAAAGCGAGGATCAGACGCCCGCCTGCTAGGATGAGACACAAGGGGCCTCAGGAGAAGACTGCTACTGTGCTCCATGACGAACAACACGACACGGCACAGTCAAGCGGCTATATACAACGGGGGCGCCGCCCCACCCCCGGCCGAGTACGAGGAGACTAAGGGCAGGCCGAAGGCGAACATCGACTCCGGAACGCAGCCAGCAGCTCCTCGTCGGGCGTGGACTCGGGGACGCCCAGGGTGCGCCTCGGCGGCGATGACGACTGCCTCCGCTGCCCCCGCCGCCGCAGCGCCAGGACCAGCTCCAGCAGCTTCCATCTCCATGGGCACGACGTCGGGGCTCGGCCGCACCGCGGCCTGCCGCACGACGCCGTCGGCCCACTCGTCGTCGTCCACGTCCGTCTCGACCGCAACAACCTCCGCCGCGGCCGCGGGCCGAGGGCCCGCGTCCGCCGCCCCAGCGACAGCAGCACCAGCGCCTCCTTCAGCAGCAGGCGGAGCAGCGCGCCCCGCAGCGCGCGCCTCCGCCAGACGGCGGCGCCGACGCCGTCGGCGCTCCACCTTCGAGGCGTCGGTTCCTTCTTGTCCTCCTGCGCGGCGACGTCGCGGCCAGGCGACGCGTCGGGCGGCGCCGAGGCAGCGAAAATCACCGCCGACACCGCCGACCGCGTCACGGCAGCGACCGTGCGCCGCGGCGCTTGGGCAAGCACCGCGGCACGGACAGCAGCAGCCACCAAAGAAACGCCATCCGCGACCGAGAGAGCCCCTCTAGCGAGGCGCGAGGCGTCCATTCCGAAGACGGCCGACCGAGCGCCAGGCATGCAACCGCTTGAGCCAAAAAGGCTTGAGCCAAAATGGCTACGGACAGAAACATAAGAACTGTCAGGCAGACGGCCTCGCGAGAAGCGATCCTCCCCATCCACCCCTGCTCCTCACCCCGCATTCGCAACAAAGCCGCGAGACCCGCGAAAGGCGCGCACAGCAACGCTGCCGCGCAAACCGCTCCCCGCTTGCCTCCTCCTCTTCCTCCTCCGTCCCCTCTTTCCTCCGCTCCTCCTCTCGCCCCCTCCTTCCATTACCCCCTCCTCCTCCCCCTCCTCCTCCCTCACTCGCTCCCTCCTCCTCGTCCCTCCTGCTCCTCCTCCTCTTCCCTCCCTCGACTTCCTCCTCCTCCTCCTCCTCCTCCTCCTCCTCCTCATTCTCCTCCTCCTCCTCCTCCTCCTCCTCCTCCTCCTCCGCGTCCTCTTCCTCCTCCTCCCATCCTCCTCCCATCCTCCTCCGCCTCCTTCTCCCTTGGGTACGACGGAGGCCCGTCCAAATCTTTAGCACCACCCCAGGGTGCCTTCTCCACGGTTGTGCTCACGATCTCGTTGTTCTGGAGCATTTCGAACGCCATCTTCTTCGGCGCCCAGACATACGCGTTTCTGTCAGAGCCGACGTCAATCATGACCCCTCTCCGCGACTTGTGAGCCACCCGACCCTGCAACGACTGGCCCACCTCCATGTCCTTGACCAGCGGCACTTTGGGCAGCCCGGCAACGGACACCCAAAATCTGCCATCCTCCACCTTTCCAAGAGGTGCTGCACAAGGTCGAGGGAGGGGGAGGGTGCGTTTAGGATGGGGGGCAGCGCACAATACGCACCCACATGTTTCCACCCCGCCCGACAGAACGCCCTTAGAGAACAGGAAAATCGCCCTCATCATGATCACCCCGACGCACGAGGCCGTCATTTAGTAAACGCCCAAGGCCGTGTACGAAACGCTAATTCTGGGGGTCGGGGTGGTCTTGCCTCCCTTGAGCTCTGGCCCCCCCGGCGCTCCCCGCCCCCCCCCCCGCCGCAGCGATCCAGACGCCCCCACGCCCCGCCGAGGACAGCCCGCGCCTGTCCACCCGTGCGAACCCGCCCCCCCCGCGCTCATCGAGCAGCACGGAGCGCATGCCTGCCACCCTCGCTGCTGCGCTGCTCCGACTCTTCCCGACTTGCGCCCGAGGGTCAGCATCAGATCCTGCGGGCACCGAGCGGGCGGGAATCCCGAGCAGCAACAGTGGCACCGCGCAGAGCCACGCCGAGTACCACCCACAAGACCAAGCGGGGCCGAAGCTTGCAGACGAGTTCACCCCTACAGTCATCAGGCCGTGGATCGATCAGAGGGGGCCCGCGGCCGAATTTGAACAAGCGAATCCACAATCGGGGCGCCAATGCTGTCCTAACCCAAATCTTCGGCACGCGGTTCGGTAGCACTCGCGCGTAGCGTACGCATGCGCGTGCGCCAGCAGCTTGACCCGACAGGCGTGGGTGCGATGCTTTGGGGTCGTGTCGTGTGCGCTGCTGCTCCCGGCCCTGAGGCCCCGGACCTTCTCCACCGTCGCGGTCACGTTCTGCTTGGCCTGGAGGCTGCGCAGCGCCTCCTCCCTCGGCGCGAGGACGCGCCCGCAGCACCTGGCGTGGCGCCAGGACGCGCCGATGTCGATCCACACGGCCTCGTCGCTAATGAAGAATACTCGGCCCGCCAGCGTCTGGCCGACCGACAGGTCCTCCAGCCGGCTCCTCCGCGCGGGGCGGCTTTATGGGAAAAGGTGAAGCAATGGCGAGAGGCAGCGCCTGCGCCCTGCCCCTGTGTTCCACCCGCATCTCCCCTCCTTGTTTTGGTTGTTACCCTCCGTTCCCACGCGTTGAGGACTATTCTGTGTGAGGAGGCGAGGAGCCCCCGACCACAGAACCTTTACCACGGCGTGACTAGCGCAGTCGCACGAAACAGACGATCGCCAGTCGACCAGGAACGCTACACGAGCCGAGCTGTCACAGGTCACAGGTAAGCTCACGCGGTGAACTGTGGCATGGGGGAAAAGGAAATGACGGTATGACTGTGAAAAACCAGATGGGGAAGGGGCAGGAGGAAGGAGGAGAGGAGCAAAGACCACACGCACACATACACACACACACACTCAATCATTATCACTACGAGAAGCGAGCTCGAAACATTGATGATCCGTGACAAGACAATCGACCGAAGCCGCAAGACCCTTAGAAGACTCTGGGCAGCGTGGTGTCGAGCACAAAACGCGCGACGGAGGGCCATTTCCCGAATTGACATACTAGAATATGCACTGACCGAATAAGAAGCCGAAGGAACGACACGCATCAGAAAAATCGGCGGATGCCAGAGCAGGAACCGCCCCAGGCCCCCGTCCATGACTGACAACGATTGCTGCCAATACGTGCGCAGCCGAAACAAACAATGAATGCCACAATGGCGCTGACAGAAGTGTCCTCGGCGAGTGCAGAGGCGAACCCTCGCAGCGGGCTGGCACGCAAGCCCCGGCGGAAGCTCCCGAAGGCAAATTCATGACGGGGTTAACGCCAAGGCCAAGGATACAGCCAAGGCATTGCAATGCCAATACATGATCCACGTCCCCTCTTCCTCCACCCCTCATCCTTACCAGCCCTGTCGCACCACGGGACGTGTCCGTAGACTGGGCCGCCCGACAGGGCGTTTCGCTTGCCACGTACTACCCCTAAACTTCACTCTGCGATTGTTGAGAGAGCGCGTTTCACGGGCGCTCGCCTTGAACACATTCGGCGGCGCGTTTCGAACCGGGGGGTGAGGCCCCCCCAACATTCGGCGCCGTCGACCAAAACCAGGGGGACCCCCCTCTCACCCAACCCCCCTCCCTCCCGAACTCCCCCCCCATCGGCGCTGGCGCCGGCGCCGGCGCTGGCGGCCGCCAGCAGCGCCGACGGCGGGGACGCAGCGATGATGACCAGAGGCAGCCCAAAGGGGCAGGGGGGGACGGGAGGGTTTCGAATCCCCCCTCCCCCCCCACTGGCGCCCAGTTGGCGGCGGCCAGCAGCGCTGGCGCTGGCGCCGGCGACGGTGGGGGCGCAGCGACGATTACCACCACTACCACCACCACCAGTACCACCACCACCATTACCACCTCAACCCACCACCACCACCAACCCACCACACAACCACCACCACCACCACAGCCACCACCACCACCACAACCACCACCAACACAACTCACCATCACCACCACCGCCACAAAAACCCACCACCACTACCACCACCACCACCACCACCACCACAATTTACCACACCACCACCACCACCACCACAACCACAACCACAACCACTACCAGCAGCACAACCCACCACCACCACCACAAACCACCACACCACCACCGCCACCGCCACCACCACCACCACCTCCACAATCCACCGCCACCACCACAACCCCCCCCCACCAACCCACCACACAACCACCACCACACCACTACTAAACCACCATCACCACCCCACCACCACCACAATCCACCGCCACCACCACATCAAACCACCACCACACCACCACGAAACCACCACCACCACTACCACCACCACCACCACCACCACCACCACTACCACCACCACCACCCACCACCACAACCACCACCACCACCACAACAAACCACCATAACAACCACCACCACAACAAACCACCACACCACCACCACCACAACCCACCACCACCACCACCACCACCACCACCGTCGTCCTCGTCGACGCTCCCCGCCGCCGCCGCCCTCCGCCGCAGGCGCCGGCGCTGGCCCAGAAAAGGAAATCGTCGTCCCCGCGGCCGCCGCCAGCCGCCGCCGACGCAGGCGCTGGCCCGAGGAGAGAGGAGAGGGAGGGGAAAGGGGGGTTCGAACCCCCGCCCCCCACTCCGTCACGGGAAGGCGGGGGGGGGTCCGGTTCCAACCCCCCCCCTCCAAGCGACCACAGAACGCGCTCTTTCCGATTGTTGGACATGTGAACCTTCGGGCAGGAAGTGGCAGCTTCGGCCCTCGATCTGAGTGACAAGTGGTATTTGCCATAGCGGCGCCGCGCGCATTCGTCTCAAAATCCGCCGATCCGACGTGTGAGTTTGAAAGAGCCTGAGCTTTGGCTCAGCTCTGTTTGGGGGGGGGCCAGTGCCAGGGTGGCTCTGCCGGGGAAGGGGGGAGGGGATTCAACTCCCCTCCCCTCTTGGGAGATCCATGTTGTTATTTGCCCATCCCAGATATTTGGGGGAGGATCCCAGGGACCCCTCCGGAACTTGGGGGAGAGAGCCCCCCCCCGTCCCCCGCCCCGGCGACCACCAGACGGGGGAGAGCCTCCTCCCCGCCAGCTCCCCCTGTCCACAAGACGGCCCCAGAGGGCCATCGTGAGCGTTGTGGTCGTCGTGGTTAGGAGCGTCGTGATCAGCACTTCAGGCAAGTCCCTCCAACAGCACGAGCGCCCCAGATCGGCGGCACTGGCCAGCTGCCACTCCAAGATTCGAACAATGCCACGGATGCAGGCCCGATTTTTGTCCTGAATGCTGCTCTCGCCTCCACGTCGCGGGCTGCGAGGCGTGAGCGCCGTGCGCGCGCCCGCCAGGCGGCAGAAGCCGCTCCCCTGCGCGACAGGGGCCTACAGTCAGACTCGATCGGACAGGACACGCAAGAGGGCCACATTGCCTTAGGAATGTAGGAGGCATGGGTGGCGAGACACAAGACAAAAGGGCCCCTTGATTTGGCAGGGTCGACCTGTAGTAATCAGGGCCGACTGCAGCCCGGGTCAGCACAAACCCTGGTCGGCCAAGGCCCCGTCGCGAAGCCCAACCAGCCGCTTCGTAGCTCCCAAGCCCAGGTCAGCGGAGGGCAACACGGGGGACTCGGCCCCGCATGGCTCCCAAAACCCGAGCAGCCAGAGGAGGGTGGCTGACCCCCGTCTGACGCTGACCCCCACTACGTGAGCCCCGGATCGGCGGCCCGTGCCCTGCAGGCCGCGCTGGTGTACGCCGCGGGCTGTCTCGACGCCCTTGTCGTGGACGCGGGGTCGGCGGACAGCGTGGCGTCGGTTCTGTCTGCTCTCGGCAGAGACCAGAAAAACCAACCTCACCATGAGCACCCCGACGAGCGAAGCCGCTCCGCAGACGCTCCCGCAGAAGGCCTCGAGCGGGGCCGGGCCGTTCAGCCAACGCCCAGGGCCGTTCAGTCAACGCCGACGAGAGGGGTCGGGGTGGCTTTCCCTCCCTCTGAGCGAGCAACAACATGTGTACATGTACGCCCTCCGCGGTCTTGCGTGCACGAACCTCCGCGTTCAAACGCAAGTCAGCGGAAACAAACCGCGTGCATGTACAGATGTTGTTGCCCTCTGACCCTCGGCCTAGGCTGCTGGCCGTCGGGCGCCGCCATGGCCGGAGCGCCTGCGCCGGGGAGCGACCGTCGCGCGCGGCCCGGCAGGACGCATCCGCAGGGCCATGGCGGCCGAGCCGCGGGCGGCGGCCAGAGGCCCGGGCCTGGGCGCTCGGGGTGCCGAGGCGCAGCGGAGGCTGCGGCGCCCGCGAGGGCTGTGCAGTCAGACGAGGCCAGGACGAGCAGGACGAGGACGGATTCGGGCGAGGATACATCGAGGACCTCTGAGATCCGGCGGCTCTGGAGGATGTCTCGGGCGCCGCGGCCTTCCCAGAGCGTCCTGCACCGCCCTGGGAGCGTCCCGGAACGCTCCGGAACGGATTTATCCTCGACCTAGCCCCGTCCGAAGGCCACCGACAGCAGCTTCTGGCACGTGGCGGCACCGCCCTTCGTGCCGGGCGCGGCCGCAACGAGATGTTGGAGACGCTAGGCGTCAAGGGCTAGGAGGTCGCGGAGCCCATCATGGGGTACGATGCCGCCGTGCAGGCGAGCGCATGGACTCGAGCGTGATTGACGAGAGCTTGAACGTGAACGCGGGGCCAGCTGGGAGGCGCGAGACTCCTTCCGAGCCGTGCTGGGGGCGTGAGGCTGCTCAGGAAAGCGAGGTGCGGAGTCGCCGGTGCCATAGCCGACGCTTCGCTCGCAGTGAAGGGGGGAGGAGAGCGTCGACGTGGTCGCCGAGAAGATCGCGGACGGGTTGCTCGTGCAGGCACCGATGGCAGGCGCAGATGTGAGGGAGTAGCGTATGGAGGCGGACGAGGATGCGCACATAGAGGGCTGGATGGCGCAAGGCTCCTTCCGATCCGTGTTGTCGTCAACGAGGCCTTGATCCTGGAGCGTGGGGAGCGGAGCGGTATCCTTGTCGTCGCTAAGTCCGTGGGGTCCGTGCTGCTGGCGGTGCCGCTGAAGGCGCTCGTGTGCAGTCTGAGACAGCGCCTGCCATCTTGATGGACCAGTGGCCGCTGTGCACGCGGCGGTTGGCTCTCGTGCGGCGCGGCGGCAGCACTTGGAATGCAGCCTCGGCGTGAAGCCGCTCCTCGGGAAGGTGTGGCTCAGACGCTGCGCGGCGTGCGCGTGGGGCTGCTGCCCGAGGCTCGAGGACACCCTCGAGGAATGGATTGTCCTCCTCTGGTTGGGGCGCCCAGCGTCGGTCAAGTCCGAGGCTGCCCCCCCCCCCCCCTGACATGCGGGAGAGCAGCATCCTCGTCGGGTGGACGTGTGAGGCCTGCATCGGCGGTGCATGGTGTGCCGAGCGAGGTGGCGTGCCGTCGTTGGGTGTAGCACGGTCCATTGGGACTGGCTCCACCTTCTCCTGCTCCTATCGTTCTCCCCACCCTTCCTCCTCTCCATTCTCCTCCCCCCCTTCTCCATCCTCCTCCTCCTCCTCTTCCTCCTCCTCTTCCTCCTCCTCCTCCTCCTCCTCCTCCTCCTCCCACCCCAAGGGGAAGTGGCCCCTCCCAGCCGTGTCCTCCACTTCTTCTTCTTCGGCTTTCGTTTCACGACCTCTGGGGGCCCACGGGATGGCCCACCGCAATTCTTCCACGCAGCTGAACGAGGAGGAGAGATACTGGCCGCAGCAGGAGGATTATGACGAAGAAGGCGAGGATGAACATGAGGAGGAAAACGAAGAGGATGAGGGGCAGGGCGAGAAGGGGATGGTCGCCAATGTTGAGAACGAAGCGGCAGAGGAGATGGGGCGGATGGGAGAGGAGGATCCGCAGCAGTGGAAGCAAGAGAAGGTGAGCAGAAGCATCAGGGGCAACATCTGCAGAAGGGAGCCATACAGACCTGGCGGTGGGGGCTCTGCTTTCTTGTCACCGCCTGAGCCGTTCAAGCCTGGAACGGCCTCTGCCGTCGGGGGGTCGCCGGAAGCCGTCCAAAGGCCTTGAGTCTTGAACACCCGTTCCCACGCAGTCTCGTGCTCCCTCTCCTGCTCCCTCTCCCCCTCTTCCTCCCTCCTCCCTCTCCTGCTCCTTCTCCTCCTCCCACTCTCCTCGTTGCAGGTTCAGCCACCAGCCAAGCCAGGACCCTTCCTTGTCCCCCTGCCCTTCCCCGTCTTCCATCTCATCCCCCGCTTCCCCTCCCCTCCCGTGGGGCTGCAAAGCGTCCATCAAAGTGCGGTCATGTGCAATAGTCAGGCCTGCCTGCGGTTCTACAAAAATCGCGGCACGATTGCTAATCCACATCTCGCCGCGCAGTGACGCCACCTCCTCTCCTCCTTCCGTTTCCTCCTCCTCCTTCTCCTCCGCCTCCCCCTCCTCCTCATCATCCCTCCCTTTTCCTCATAAACAGCTCCTCCCTGTTGCATCCCCAGACATATCGGAAAGGCGGGCCAGGCGTCTCGCTAAAGACTTCCTCACTCAGTGTGGTCCTCAAGCTTCACATTTGCGACAGCTTCACGGCTGAAGGAGGCTGGTTTTCAAAATGTGGTTTTCGCCTGAGCGCCGCGCGCATTCTGAAAGCTTGCAACAGGTTCAACGATGGAGGGCGCCTAATCTTCAAAGTGTGGCTCTCGCCTCAGCGCCGTGCTCATTCGTATTGAAAATTCGCAGCAAACTCAAAGATGAAGGGCGGGTCCTTTTCGAAATGGTGTTCTCGCCTAAGCGCCGGGCACATGCACAAGTAAGGTTTGTAACAGCTTCACGGGCCGATGGCGGGCAGCTTCCAAAATGGGGCGCTCGCCTTAGCGCCGCGCAATTTCGTGCTGAACTAGTGCAGAAACTTTACGGATGGAAGGCGGTTCATCTTCAAATGTGGCTCTCGCCGACGCGCCGCGCACATTCGCATTGAAAGAGTGCACCAGCTTCAAGGGTGAAGAGCGGCTCCGTTTCAAAATGTGGCTCTCGCCAAAGCGCCGCACGCATCAGTTTCAAACGGTTTGCCACAATTGCAAAGATTCGTAAGGTTGAAATCCCAAAAAATCTGGCAATACATATCGGTCTGTCAGGACGCAACAATCACGCTGATTCGCGGCGTTAAAGTCCCAGAAGCACAATTCTGGCACGAATTAGGGTTGTCAAGGCACAGCAATCACGTTGTCTCGCGGCGATGAGATCCTAGGAATCGTGTTTTGACGCGGTTGCGGATTTCAGACGGCTGTACTTCAATTGGGAACTTTCTGCAATAATTACGCAAACGGATTTCCCCACATGTTTTTGTTCAAACAAAAAATGGGGGCGCGGACTTACAGGGGGGGGGGGGGCGCAGAAGGTGTAGGAAGATGGATAGCGTGGGACAATGAGAGCAACGCTATCGAATGGCATACAAGACTCTTGCGAAATTGCCCCGTTCTTCTAGCGGCCGTCGTTTCTGTTCTCAAGCTACGCGGCCCCCGCGAGTGCGGTGCACTTGCGGTTACACTGGGCAGCACCGATGAAGGGGCATCGCACAGAAGCAAGGAGAGGGCGAGTCAGGAGGAAGAGGAAGAGGGGGAGGTGCGGGGTGGAGGGGGTCACGGCGATGGCTGGGCGACGGGGGCGATGAAGATGGCGATGCTACTCCTGGGAGGCTCCGCCACACCGTGCTACCCATCAAGTTGCGGGCCCTTCCCAGAGCAGGCACGGCCTCCCAGGAGGGCGAGGCGGCATCGGGAAGACTTGAAGGGGTGGGAGGGGCAGGAAACTGATAAACAACATGGTGTCGCGATACCCTGCTCGCTCTGGCGGGACCTCCCTGGAGGGGTGGGAGGAGCAGGAACCTGGATAAATATAAGAATTCAAAAGAATTCGAAACCTGTCCAAATCTGCGGCGGTGCCAGACGGGGAACAGGAGGAGCAGGAGGAGGCAACGTAGAAGAATGGGGAGGAAGAGGGAAGAGGCGGAGGAGAAAGTGCAGAGTGACGGAAGGTGAAAAGGCCAAGAGGAAGATGGTGAGGAGCATGAGGGAGGAAGAAGGACTAGCAATCAGAGAGGGAGGACGTTGAGGGGAGAGGCAGGAAGTGGAAGAGGAAGGACCAGGGAACAATGGAAGGGGTGAGGGAGGAGCAGGGGGGACAAGAGAAAAGGCGATGGAGAGGAAGGCGGGAGAGCAAGTAAGGTAAGGAGAGTGGGGGGTTGGCCTGGCCTCCTCGCTCTATCGGGGACTCTCTGGAGGGGTGGCAAGGAGTGCGAAACCTTGAGAAAAACAGAGTGAGAGGCCGAGCGTTCATTCATTGTCCCTGAGTGCGTGGCTGAAGTGCGGACCCGTGGTGATGATTCTGCTTGAACTCTCATGTCAGAAGAAAAACTATTGTTGATCCCCCCATCACCGGGGCATGCTGTTTATTCTCCATCAAAGTGTGCCCCTCGACGCTCGCACCCTGTTTTTTAGCAGGGCAAATCTTCGTGCTCACACTGTGCCTCTGGCCCCCCGGATTACAACAACAACGGTTCCCTCTTGAGGCTTCCTCCAAATTTACTCAGGACCCCGGCGGGAGCGGCGCTCCCGCCCGAGACTTCCTCACAATTTACTCAGGATCGGTGCTCCCGCCTTTGATTTCCTCACATTTAGTCTGGACCCCCGCTCCCATTGAGACTTCAACACAATTTACTCAGGAAGGGCGCTCCCGCTTGAGACTTCCTTGCAATTGAATCAACGACTTCCTCGCAATTGAATCAAGACCCCCGCTACCGCCAGAGAAGCCCTCACATTTTATTCAAGAGTTGCGCTCTCGCCTCTGACTTCCATGCAACTCATTCAACAATCGTGCTTTGGACGCTCAGGAAACACGCTGCGCCAATGACGCCGTCACAATTTAGTTAGGAATCGCGCTCTCGTCATACTCAAGCATCCCGCTTAAATGTCCCACCCGCCCGACCCGCCCGTCAGGGGATCGCCCGCCCGTCGTGGGCTCCCGCCCGCGACTTCCTTCAGGAACGGCGCTTTCGCCTAGGACTTCCTCGAATGTTCACGCTCTTACCTTCTTGCTCCTCCTCCCTCTCCCTCCCCCCTCCTCCTTCCTCTCCTCCCTTCTCTCTCTCCCCCTCTTTTTTCTCATCCTTATGCCTCTCTGCCCTATCCCCTCTCCCTCCTCTCCCTCCTCCCTTCTCCCTCCCCTCTCCTGTCTCCTCCCTCCCTCTTTTTTTCTTTTTCTCTCTCTCTCTCTCTCTCTCTCTCTCTCTCTCTCTCTCCCCTCTCTCTCTCTCTCTCTACCTCTCTTATCTGTCTTTCTCTTTCTCTCTCTCTCTCTCTCTCTCTCTCTGTCTCTAATCAACCGCCCCCCTCTTCGCTCCTTCTCTCCTGGCGTTTTCCCTCTTCCTTCGTCCCTCCCCCTCGCTTCCTCCCACTATCCCTCGTTCTCCCCCTCCTCTTTTTGGAGGTCCCACACCAATTCCAATGGCGGGCACATGTACGCCCACGAAGGATTGTCCGCCCGTTCAGGTTTGCCCGCCTGTCTAAGCTCGCCGCCCCCCGCAAAGAGAAATAATCCCCCTCAAGGGGAGGGGTCGAAGACAAAAAGGGCGAGAATCGAGGGTGTGGGGAACTCGTTTTGAATAACACTCGGGCAAATACGAGCGAACAATCTTAGAATGATTGTTGTTGGTATCGTCGTCCCCCCCGCGACCCGGCCCGCGACCCACCCGCGACCCACCTCGCGACCCACCCGCGACCCACCCCGCGACCCAACCGCGACCCACCCGCGACCCACCCCGCGACCCTCTCGCGATCCACCCGCGACCCACCCGCGACCCAGCCCGCGACCCACCCGCGACCCACCGTCGACCCACCTGTGACCCACCTGCGACCTATCTACGATCCAACCCGCGACCCACCTACACTGTTTTAGCAAAAATTCGGCGCCTGCGGCGGGCTCGTTGTATAGCTTGAAAAATCCGCCGATCCGGCGTGTGAGTTTCAAGGAGTCTCAGCTACAGCCTCGAGGCTGAGCCTCAGCCTCTGGGGGGGTTGCCGGGGTGGCTCTGCCGGGGAAGGGGGGGGGGGGGGGGGGGGGGGCGAGTTTCCGGCGGATGCCCTTTTGGGAGCTCTTAGGCGTCTGGGGGCGTTTTTTGGAGCATCTTAGGGGCCTGTCAGGGCGTCCTGGGGCGCTTCTTGGAGGCTTTTGGGGGCCCTCTTGGGAGCTCTTGGGGCCTCCGCTTTTTCCGCTTTTCGTCCCTCTTTGGGGTCTTATTGGGGACGCGTGGGGGGGCTCTTGGGCCGTCTTGGGCGGCTCTTGGGCCGCCTTCGGGCTCTCTTGGAAACCACCGGTTTTGCTTGAAACTTAACCTAAAACGTTTGGTTTCTCTGAAAAAGCGCGCTGCGACGGTTTCATTGCCAGCCGCGGAAATCTAATGGTTCTATGCGTCTGCCGGCAGGCCTTGAGCGCGTCTACAGAGGGGCCCTCTGTAAAATCGCAATTCACCCGCCCCTCCTTGAGCGCATCTACAGAGGGCCCCGCGTCTGGAGAATAACCCCGAGCGACCCGGATCGGCGGCACTGGCCGAAGGCCACTACAATATTGCGCAAGCCTCGCAGACTGCCGACGTCCCCGCCGCCCGCTCACTCTTATCCGCAACTGCGGGCTGCTACGTATTGATTTCGCATACCTCCTCGCTCAGGAGGGGCCTCCCTGGAGGAGTGGGAGGAGCACGACACCTGATACATGACATGGCTTGCGAATACCCTCCTCGCTCAGGCGGGGCCTCCCTGGAAAAGTGGGAAGGGCCACGAAACCTGATACATAGCTCGGCTTCGAACACCATCCTCGCTCAGGCGGGGCCTCCCTGGAGGAGTGGGAGGGGCACGAAACCTGATCAATGACATGATTGTCAAACACCCTCCTCGCTCAGGTGGGACCTCCTTGGAGGAGTGGGGGGGGACACGAAACCAGATAAAATAGCTTGGTTTTCGAGCACCATCCTCGCTCAGGCGGGGCCTCCCTGGAGGAGTGGGAGGGGCACGAAACCTGTTAAATGAAATGGTGTTCGAATACCCTCCTCGCTCAGGCGGAGCCTCACTGGAAGGGTGGGAGGGGCACCACACCTGATAAATGGCATGGTTTTCGAATACCCTCCTCGCTCAGGCGGGGCCTCTCTGGAGGGGTGGAAGGGACACGAAACCTGATGCATGACAAGGTTTTCGAATACCCTCCTCGCTCAGGCGAGGCCTCCCTGGAGGGGTGGAAGGAGCACGAAACCTAATAAACAACATGGTGTTCGAATACCCTCCTCGCTCAGGCGGAGCCTCCCTGGAGGAGTGGGAGGGGCCCCACACCTGATAGGTAACATGGCTTGCGAATACCCTCCTCGCTCAGGCGGGGCCTCCCTGGAGGAGTGGGAGGGGCACGACACCTAATACATAGCATGGTTTTCGAATACCCTCCTCGCTCAGGCGGGGCCTCCCTGGAGGAGTGGGAGGGGCACGAAACCTGATAAATGGCATGGTTGTCGAACACTCTCCTCGCTCAGGCAGGGCATCCCTGGAGGGGTGGTGGGGGCACGAAACCTGATACATAACACGGTTTTCGAACACCCTCCTCGTTCAGGCGAGGCCTCCCTGGACAAGAACGGGAAGCGCCGCTGTAGTCTAATGGGCGTATTGGGCGAAGAAGACAAGGAAGGCGAGGGCAACGAGGAATCGATGACGAGGACGACGTGGCGAACGTGAGGATAGCGAGGAGGAGCATGAGGACAACGAGGAGGAAGAGAAGCACAAGGACGAGGACGAAGAGAACGAGGGCGAGTACGAAGAGGAATGCGGAGGGCGATGATGACGACGACGACAACGACGACAGAGGACAGTACGAGGCAATTGGAAAAAGACGTTGCTCCTGGCGCCGCGCGGGGTTCTCGTGGGACCTGTTGGGGGCTTCTTGGGGGCCCCTTGGGTCCTCTTATGGGCTTCTGGGGTCTTCTTGGGCTGGCTGGGCGCGTCGTGCGGTTCTGTGGGAGCTTTGGGCCGCCTTGGCGCTGGGGGCCTCCTGGGGCGCTCCCGTGAGTCTCTTGGGGCCTTCTTGGCCCTTCTCGGGCCGTCTTGGGGTTTTTGTGAGCTGTCTGGGTGGCTCCTAGAGCGCTCTTGGGGGGTAAGAAACCTGATAAATCTGCCAGCCCCCTTGTGGGGCCACCAGGCTGTAGGACGAGGGTTTGCTGCTCCCTGCGCCAGTTCCACTTCCCAGTTTCCACTGTTGCAATTATGCTTATTGTTGCTTATTGTTCCTTGTTGGTGGACCGCGCGAGGGAGGGGGAGCCGAGAAGGAACCTAGTTACCACGCCCGAATCGGGTGCTCTGAATTCCTGGGGGGGGGCGTGGGGCACGTACAAATACGTGACGTTCGCGCCCCCGAGGCCATACACCTTCGCAAATTACACAATAGTCGCGTCCCCAAGGCCATAGGCCATCATGAACTACTCAATATTCGCGTCCCCGAAGCCATGAACCTTTCCAAACTACGCCATATTCGTGTCCCTGAAGCCATAAACCCTCGCAAATTAAGCAGTACTTGCGTCCCCGAGGCCACAAGCGCTTGTAAGTCATGCGGTACTCGCGGCCCCGAAGCCATATACCCTTGTACGTTAAGCAATATGCGCGTCCATAAACCTGCGTAGTTGACGCAATATTTGCGACCCCGAAGCCATAAACGCGCGTACATTATGCAATTGTCGCGTGTCAGAAGCAATACACCCTCGTAAATTACACTATATACTCGCGTCTCCGAAGCCATAAACCTGCGTACATTACACTGTAATTGCGAGCCCGAAGCAATAAAGCCTTGTAAATTACACGCGATTCGCGTATCCGAAGCCATAAACTCTCGAAGCACAACACCGAATTCAACAAGATCATCAGGATCTCACTTTGTCTTGCCGATTAATCATCGTCTTCGCGTGAAGTCCCGAGGCTGCTTCACGGCGGCGCCAAGGCCTCATGATTTCGCTCTTGCGTTGCCCATGATCCGAGAGAGGTGGCCGGCGGCAGGGGGCGAAGCCCTTGCGGATAAAATGGTTTTAGAATGCCCTCCTCGAGGGGCACGAAACCAGATAAATAACATTGTTTTCGATCACTCTCCTCACTCAGGCGGGGCCTCCTTGGAGGGGTGGGGGGGGCACGAAACCTTGCAAATGGTATGGTTTCCTGATACTGTCCTCGCTCCGGCGTGGCTTCCCTGGAGTGGTAGGTACGGTATGGTAGCTTTGGTATTGGGGGTGTGGTACGGTGTGGTAGGTGATGTGGTATGGTTGGCATGGTATGGTAGGTCTGGTATTGGTATGGTATGGTATGGTATGGCGCGGCCTCCCCGGAGGGGTGGGAGGGGCACGAAACCTGATCAATAACAAGGTTTTCGAGTACCCTCCTCGCTCAGGCGGGGCCTCCCTGGAGGAGTGGGAGGGGCACGACACCTGATAAATGGTATCGTTTTCGCATACCCTCCTCGCTCAGGCGGGGCCTGGGAGGGGCATGAAACCTGAATAGCATGGTTTTCGAATACCCTCCTCGCTCAAGCGGGGCCTCCCTGGACGAGTGGGAGGGGCACGAAACCTTATAAAGAGCATGGTTTTCGAATACCCTCCTCGCTCAGACGAGGCCTCCCTGGAGGGGTGGGGGGGCGCACGGAACCTTGTAAATGGTGTGTATCCCGATGCTGTCCTCGCTCCGGCGTGGCTTCCCTGGAGTGGTAGGTATGGTATGGTAGCTTTGGTTTTATAGGTGTGGTATTGTATGGTAGGTGGTGTGGTATGGTTGGCATGGTATGGTAGGTATGGTATTGGTATGATATGGTAGGTATGGTATGTGATAGGTATGGTATGATAGGTATGGAATTGGTATGGGATTGGTAAGTCTGGTATGGTAGGTATGGTATGGTATGGTAGATATGGTATGGTATGGTATGGAGGTGGGAGAAGGAGAAGGAGGAGGAGAGGGTGTTCTAGGAAAACAAGACACCCACTCAGGATGCGGGGGGAAAACAATTTGTAGGACCGTGTGACAAAAAAGCAACTTGCTGGAAACGCTTATCGCATCATCGTTGATTCGCTTTGCGCCTCTACTCCTCGCCCCCCCCCCGTCGCCGGACAGCACAGCCTGTCCGGGCCAAGCGTGGCGGCGCGCAGGGCTCTGGCCTGAAGAGCCAAGGAGCCAGGGAGGCCACGCAGCCTCCTCGCTGGGAGCATCTGCGTCTTTCGCATCCTCCTCCTCCTCCTTCTCCTCCTCCTCCTCCTCCTCCTCCTCCTCGGCGGCCGCCTCGGGCTTCTCGTCGTCCTCCCCTGCCGAGGGCTCCTGCGGCTGCTCCTGGGGGAGGAGGGTGGGGTGCCAAGGGGGGGGGGGAGAGAAGGGCCACGTTAGGGGAAGGACCAGCTCAGGAGTGGAAGCATCGGGCCGGAACTGGTGATGCATCGGGAAAGGGCTCTCGATAGCGAACCCGCCCGCTCCTGGGCGAGGTGGGCTATCGGGCCCCTCTCGGCGATGAATGGGCGATTGAGGCTCGATGCATCTCCCCTGAGCCTGTCCCCCCCTACCATTGCCCCTGAGGAGGGGGGAAGAAATGGGGGCAGGATGGGAGGCGAGGAGGGGCTGGGCAGCAGCAAAAGGGACGCATGAAGAGCGGCCGCTCCGACTTTTGCTCGCGCATCGCTCGCTCGGCTGACAAGGCTGGGCTCTCGGCGCGAGGGCCCATCCTGTCACTGCAGCCGAACCGGCCAGCCGAATAGAAAGCGAGTCGATGTCCACAGGGAGACCCGCCCGCGACGCCCACAAGAAGACCCTCCCTCCTCTCCCACAGGGGTGGCGGGGGTGCGGGTCGCCGGCGGCACCTGGTGCGCCCAATGCGAAAGCCCCGAATAAGTGGGACGAGTGAGGTCTGGGTAGCCGGCGGTACCCAGTGCGACCGGTACGACACCCCCGAGAATTCTGGGCAGCCGTTGACATATATTTGTTCGTACACACACAGAGACACATATGTACACATATACACGCAGATACAGATGCGCACAAACAGTCTGCCTATAGAGAGGGAGAGGCATAGACACATACACAACTATATGACAGCAGTTACATATATATATATATATACACTAGAACCATCGCGCGCGCTTCGCGCGCGCTTAGGTTCTAGCTGGTCGAGTGCTGACCGCATTGAGACAACAAGGCGGTCATGAATAATGACACCAAAATTATATGTTTCCTCCCGCCTCTTCCTCATGCCTCCCCCTCCGCTCTCATCGACGTCTCGACTAGTGATATGTCGCCGAGCTTCTTGGGGACCTCTTGACCCCTCCTGGGGGTCTCCTGGGGCGAAGATGTCGGGTTCTCGGTTCACGTTCTCGATGGTGGCCTTCGGCCCATCCCGCCACCGTGCCTGGGTTGTGGGTTAGAGGCCCGTTGGAAATTCGTTTGGGATTCGTGGGGGGCTTCCCGGGGGCCACTTGAAGGCAATTTTGGAAGCCTCTTGGGGGCCGTTTGGGGTGCTCGTGGGGCGTCTTTTCGGGCCCCTTTGGGGCCTCGTGGGCCCTGGGGCCTCGTGGGCCTCGGGCCTCTATGGCTCTGTTGGGGGCCTCTTGGGGCCTCCTGGAAGCCTCTTGGGGCGGGAAGGCTCGAATGGTCGGTTCGTGTTCCCCTTCTTGGGCCCCGCCTGTGGCCGTTTTGGGGCCCTCTTGGGCGATCTTGGTCGCCTCGTGGGCCGTCTTGGGGCTCTCCTAAGTCGTAGTGGGGGCCTCTTGGGGTGTCTTGGCCCCCTCTCGGGACGTCTTTGGAGCCTTTTGGGCCGTTTTGGGACTCTCTTGGGGGCCTCGTGTGCCGTCGTCACCGCTGTGAAGACCGACAAGCCGTATATGCTAATAATATACGTTTTCCCATGCCAAATCAATGATTTTGGCCTCTTTGGACCCTCTTGGAAAGCCTCTTGAGGCGTCTTCGCGGTCTCTTGGGCACTGTGAGAACCGTCTTGGGCGTCCGAAGGCTAGCTTTGAGCGCTCACGGGCTGCCATGGAACGTTCTGGGAGCCTCATGGGGCCCTCTGGCCACGCCTTGGCCGCCCCTCGGGCTGTCTTGGGCCGCGTTGGTAGCCTCTTGGGGCCGTTGTTGGGGCCTCTTGTACCGTCGTGCACGCCGTGAAGACCGAAAAGTCGCAGATGCTAGAAATGTGTATTTTCCTATGCAAAATCAATGATTTTGGCCGCAAAGAGCTCCCGTGGAAAGCTGCTTGGGGCGTCGTAGCGGCCTCTTGGGCTCTATGGGAGCCATCTTGGGTGTCCAGGGGCGATCTTTGAGAGCCCTGGGGCCCTCTTGGACCGATTGGGGAGCCTCTCTGGGCTCCGTGGACACGTCTTGGCCGCCTCTTGAGCACGCCTTGGCCGCCTCTGGGGCTGTCTTGGGCTCCTCGTGGGCCGTGATGGGAGCCTCTTGGGCCGTCTTGGGGCCGTTGTGGGGGCCTCTTGTACCCTCATGCACGCCGTGAAGACCGAAAAGACGTAGATGCTACAAATGCACGCTTCCCCATGCAAAATCAATGATGTTGGCCTCTTGGGGCTCTCTTGGAAAGCAACTTGGGGCGTCGTAGCAGCTTCTTGGGCTCAATGGGAGCCATCTTGAGCGTCCAGGGGCGATGTTTGAGCGCCCCGGGGCCGTCTAGGACCGGTTTGGGGGCCACTTGCGCCCCCCTGGGCACGTCTTGGCCGCCTCTTGGCCCGGACAGGAGCGCTCCCGGAGCCCCGGAGTGGCCATGGGGGGCGCAGGTACCGGCCTGGCGGCCCCGATCCCCTTCCGCCGGCATATATATATATATACACACACACACACCTATACATACATATATATATATATATACATATATATATATGTGTGTGTGTGTGCGCATCTTGGTGTATATGTATAAAGAGAGGGAGACAGAGAGAGAGAGAGAGAGAACAAACAAAGGAGAGAGAGAGAGAGAGAACCCACACACACACACACACACACACACACACACACACACACACACACACGCACGCACGCACGCACGCACGCACGCACACGCACGCACGCGCACGCGCACGCGCACGCGCACGCGCACGCGCACGCGCACGCGCACGCGCACGCGCACGCGCACGCGCACGCGCACGCGCGCACGCGCACGCGCACGCACGCGCACGCACGCACACGCACGCACACGCACGCGCACGCGCACGCGCACGCGCACGCGCGCACGCGCACGCGCACGCGCACGCGCACGCGCACGCGCACGCACGCACGCGCACGCGCACGCGCACGCGCACGCACGCGCACGCGCACGCGCACGCGCGCGCGCACGCACGCACGCACGCACGCACGCACGCACGCACGCACGCACGCACACGCACGCACGCACGCACGCACACACACACACAAACACACACACACACACACAAACGTACACACACAAAACACGGAAATAGACAGCGAGAGAGAACGCGAGACATAGATATTGTGAGCAAACGAACCGTTGAGGAATTCTAGCTCTCCCGCACGCGAGCAGGAAGAACATGGGCACATCGAAAAGGATGGTAAGGGCTATTGCTGAGGATGGTGATGGCCAGGACGGCGGCGCTGGTAATGCTGGCAGCGCCAATACTGATGCACTCAATAAGACGCACGGATCGGTCCTGCAACAAGACGAAGCCTAGGCGCATGACGCAATCGAGATAGGCGACGAGGTCCAGGAAGACGGGCCACGAAAGCACCGTCGCGGCGGGTCCGGTCCTCCATGAGGTGCTGGCTATCCAGCACGAGTGTCAACTTCAGGCCCGGGAAGTGGGCAGCAATTTAATGGGCCAGTGGGCCCATTTTCGTCGGGACTCCTGGCCTGGGCAATTGCGGCCGACAAGCACTGGCCGACGCATGCGGCATGTTCCCAGGGAAATGAGCATCGGCGGCGAAAGAAATCTGCGAATGAGCGGCGAAAACAAACGGGTCTCACGCGAGATGGCGTAGGGACCTTACTCGGAGGCCACGAAGACGAAGCCTTCCAAGAACGCCCACAAGTGGCCAAAATCCTCGAACAACTGAATGTGTTGTAATGGTGTTTGGTTTGCCGCTTTTTCGCTCCAAGCCTTTGAGAAGGCCTGAGGGTTGCTGAGAAGCCCCGCCGCCTTCTGAGGAGGCCTCTCATCGGCGGCGACGCAACTTGCGTCGCCGCCTCTCACAGAGGCTTTCGCTTCTCCTCCAAAAGGCAAACGCGCGGGCCGTGCCGTACCTCGCCGCCGCCGCCGTACCTCACCGTCGTCGTCGTCGCCGTCGCCGTCGCCACCGCCGCCGTCGTCGTCGTCGTCGTCGTCGACGTCGACATCGTCGTCGTCGTCGTGGTCGCCGGCGCCCAGAGAATCTCGCTCCTCCGCCAGACGGTGATCGCGCGGACCGTGCCCCGCAGGCTGCCAGGCGCCGCACGGGCCGCTCGCAGAGGGCACGGCCGCAGAGGTCGCACCCGCAGCCACGACGGCTCGCAATGCGCACGCCGCCGCTCTTCGAGAACACCTCGGTCGCCTGCCGCTTGCGGACGCGCGCGCTGTGCCCACGCGGCCTCACCTTCCGGGGCTGCGCGAGCACCGCGGCGCGCGCCGCGGCGTCGAGCACCGGCGGCCGAGGCCGCCACGCACCGCGCACCTCCCGGCGGGCCGCGCGAGCACCGCGCCGCGCACCGTGCCAGCGGGCCCCGGCCGCGCCGCCTCCCTGGCGTGCGCATGGCGGACCGTATGGTGACGTCTTCGGGAGCTCGAGGTCATCGGGTGGCCTCTGACCAGAGCGCGTCTGGCGGGGAGCACATCATGGCAGAAGCGAGACACTTTCGGAGGCCCGAGCGGAGTTCTGGGATCGGCGCTGGACCCCCGCAAGTCAAGTCAGGGGCGGCGCCGGGGGCGCCGCCAGGGAGCTCCAGCACCGATCCGAGACATCCGAGCGAACCTCTGGAAGTTCATGCTTTTGCCATTGCTTGTCCCCCCACGATCCCCGACGCCCCCCCTCTACCACGCCCCCCCCGCGCCGGCAGTTCCTTGAAGGCGCCCAGCAGCAGGTCTCCCAGGTCCGAGGCGCCGCCCGACCTCGCCGTAGCCGGCGCCCGATGCCACTCTGGCGGGCCCGCGAGCCACCCCGAGACCCAACCTGCGCACGGAGAGGGGGAGCTACAGTCACCTCGTATAATAAGGATGCGCGATAAGGATGCAAGGGCCTTGGCGGGCCACGTTAACGTATTTCGAGCGGGGCCCGGCCAGCGAAAGCGGCCGAGGATGGATCGAGGAGGCAAGGATGCAAGGGTACCCTTGGGAAGGTTGTCCATCCTTGCTGTGCGGGTTGACTGTGCGGCGGCGCGGCGACGTGCGCCAGCGGACGGCCGACGGCCGACAGCCAGCGACGAACGCCAGGCGGACGAGGACAGTTTTGGTGGCGGCGTGTGGCGGCGGCGGCAAGGCTCGACGGGCGACGGGCGACGGACGATCGACAGCCAACCACCGTCGACGACGACGATTCGAAGGACGGCCGACGGACACCTCGTCGGCCTTGGCAGCCATCGGCATCACGGCTGGCTTGGTGTTTTTGTTCAGGACGGAGTCCCAACTGGAGCCGAAGCCCTTGCCTTGGCCTCAGATGTGCTGGGGAACTCGTCCACCATCGAGTCTTGAACCCGCCGAATAGGAAGTGGAAGGAAACCACAACGCCGATGACTGCCCCCCAAACGTACATGGATCTAGTCGATAAAATAATTTTCAGTAAGGAGAAGGAGGAGCAGCAGCGGAGCAGCAGATCCAAGGGCGCATTCCAGGAGGAAGCGGTGCGAGGAAGGAAGGAAGGAAAGACAACGACAAATATTGACGACGGGCGAAGACTGCAACGACCACGATGATCACGACGACGGCGACGGCAACGGCGACGGACCACGACGACGACGACGACGACGACGACAGAGGTCGCCGAAGTCTCGAGACATCTCCAAAAGCCTCCAGAGAGAGGTCCCCAGATGCATCTGGAGGCTCAGGCCCAAAAATGCCAAACACCTACAAACGTCTCCATCCTCAAGCCTCGATCATCGACCTCTCAGCCGCACTGCACAATCACTCCGATGAGCAGTGTCCGATTCGTCATGGAGTCGCGGCTGGCGACGTGACCAGCCTTAGTTCGCTCGAGAAATCAGGACCAGATCTGAGCACCCGCGGCAAGGGTGTTCTGTGCCACGCCTACGCTGGGAGAGGGGGGTGTTCCCTCGGGTAGTCTGCAGCTCGACGAACACGACGACGACGAAGACGACAACGACGACGACGACGAAGTCGACGAAAGCGACAACGACCACCACCACCAGGAAAACGACGACGACGAAAACGACGACGACGAACACGAAAACGACGACGACGACCTTCGCCAGGGGCGCGGACATGCAGCAGGGCGGCCGCGGCCGTGGCCAGAGCGGCGCCGCCCACATTGCCTCTCCTCAGCAAGGGGGGGGTCGAGGGACAGCAGACGCTGAAGGATACTCTCCTCGTCCTCCTCCTGTTCCCTGCTTCCTGCGGGTGCTCCGCATGCTGCCGCTTCTCCTCCTCCTCCTCCGACGCCTCCGACTCCTCCTCCTCCTACTCTCCTACACCTCGAGGAGGAACGCCAGCAACAGGGAAGAGCCCAAAAGAAATAATGGGTCACCTTTCCATCGGATTGTATGTCTGAGATGGTCAAAATTGCGGGGGAACGTTCCCAACCCTTTGCGCACATGAAGCGGCTATACGTAGGACCCCTCAATACAAACACAAGCAGTGAAGAACCCGACGTACCGGCGAACGCTTCGCCAAGAAAACGACGGGCCATAATCACATGCTTCACATACACGGCATCATTTTTCTGATTCAGACCAATGGCATGAATGCGGCCGCGAACGGGTGTAGAAACATACAGAGGATGGAGAATTGTAGAAAAGATTCGTGGGAGTGACAGCGCCGCGCACTACATGGATGCAATGAGGCATCGCAGCCCCCGGGACGGCGAGGTCTCATTGTGACCGCTGTAATACGCTCCTCCGCTCGGCCTCCCAGGAGCCCACGGACGTGGCGGCAGTTGCGCAGATCGCAGCCCCCTAGGAACAGCGAGATCTCATGGTGATTTGCGCGGTGCACCACTCCGCTGGCCTCCCAGGGTCCCGCGAACGTGGCGACACTTTCGAACATCTACGGCGAGGTCTCATTCCTGTCCCCGTAAGACGAAGCGCCGTTGGGCCTCCCAGGAGCCCGCGAGTGGCGGGAGATTCGCAGATCGCAAGGGACGGCGAAGTCTCATGATGATCCCCGTAAGACGTCGCTCCGCTGGGCCTCCTGGAGCCCACGAGCGTGGCGACATCTTCACAGATCGCAGCCCCCAGGAACGGCGACGTCTCATCCTGATCCCCGTAAGACGTCGCGCCGCTGGGCCTCCCAGGAGCCCACAAACGTGTCGGCAGCTTCGCAGATCGCAACCCCCCTTGTGACGGCAAAGTCTCATTCGGATCCCCGTAAAATGTTGTACCGCTGGGCCCTCAGGAGCCCACGAAAGTGGCGATAGTTTCCCGGATCGCAGCCCCCCAAGGACCACGAGGTCTCACTCTGATCCCTGTAAGACGTCGCTTCGCTGGGCCTCACAAGGGATTACGAGAGTGGCGACAGTGTTGCAGATCGCAGTCCCCAGGATCGGCGAGGTCTCACTATGATCACCGTAAGACGTCACGGCGTTGGGCCTGTTCGGTTTCGCAGATCGCAGGCCCGTCAGGCGTCGCTCCGCTGGGCCTCCCATGAGCCTACGAAAAGTGGAGGTACTTTCGCAGATCGCAGCCCCCAGGGACGGCGAGGTCTCATTCTGATCCCCGCAAGACGTCGCTCCGCTGGGCCTCCCAGGAGCCCACGGACGTGGCGACAGCTTCGCAGATCGCAGCCCTATGGACGGCAAGGTCTCATCCTGATCCCCGTAAGACGTCGCGCCGCTGGGCCTCCCAGGAAACCACGAGCGTGGTGACATGTTCGCAGTTCGCAGCCCCCAAGCACGGCGAGGTCTCTTGGTGATCTGCGCGAGGCACCACTCCACTGTACCTTCCAGGGCCCTACGAAAGTGGCGACAGTTTGCAGATCGCAGCCCCACGGACGACGAGGTCTCACTCTGATCCCCTGACGGCGTCGCTCCGCTGGGCCTCCCAGGAGCCCACGAACGTGGCGACGATGTTGCAGATCGCAGCTCCTCAAAGGCGGCGAAGTCTCATGGTGATCCGCGCGGGGCCACACCCCGCTAGACCTCGCAGGAGCACCGTGAAAGTGGCGATAGCTTCGCAGATCGCAGCCCTTCAGAGACGGCGAGGTCTCCTTCTGATCCCCTGTAAGGCGTCGCGCCGCTGGGCCTCCCAGGATCCCCACGAGGGTGGCGACATCTTCACAGATCGCAGCCCCCCAAGGACGGCGAGGTCTCATTCTGATCCCCGTGAGACGTCGCTCCGCTGGGCCTCCCAGGAGCCCCCGAACGTGGCGGCAGCTTCGCAAATCGCAGCCCCCAAGGACGGCGAGTTCTCAGAATGATCTGCGCGGGGCACCATTCCGCTGGACCACCCAGGGGACCACCAAAGTGGCGACAGTTTCGCAGATCGCAGCCGCCTAAGGATTGCGAGGTCGGCAGGGAGGAGCCAGCGAGGGCGGGGGCGGAGGGAGGAGGAAGGGGCGGAGGAGGGAGAACGGAAGCGGGAGGAGCTTCGCACAGACAATGCCATAGGAAAAATGATAACCCGCCATACAGAGAGTTGGCAGAAACGAGAATCCAACCTACAAGAGGGTTCGGAGGGGCAAGATAGACCGCCATGCTCGATTCAAAACGAGTACCCAACCGGAAGAAGGTTGGGAACAACGGCGCGTAAACTCGATCACATGGATCACCCAAATCATTGGCCACGGCCGACTCGACATCACCCGAACCGTGCGTCACGAAATCAGTGCGCCAAGATTTGCGGGAAACGACAGCAAAGAAACGCAAGAGGAGGAGGAGGAGGAGGAGGAGGAGGAGGAGGAGGAGGAGGAGGAGGAGGAGGGAGGATGAGGAGGAGGAGGAGGGGGAGGGGGAGGGGAAGGAGGAGGGGGAGGAGGAGGGGCAAGGAGGAGGAAGCACAAGGGCGCTGTGCGAAGACCCCTTGCGGGCCAACTGGCCACTTACAAGATCGTCACCCACACGGCGGCAGCCTGGGAGGGAGAGGAACAAGAATCGAGAGAGGAAGGAGGAGAAAAAGGGGTGAGAGCTCGTGCTCGCACGAGCTCTCACCGGGCGCGCACGACCCCGCGGGGCTACGCCGGGCGCGCGCGCCCCCCGCGGGCTTTCCCCCTCCCCTCCCCTTCCCTCCCCCGCGCGCCGCTGTCGTGTCGTCTTTCGTCGTCGTGTCTCCCTCTCTTGCCACAGGGCTCCTTTCGCGTTGTTTTTTATATTAAAAAAACAACAAAAAAAAGCGCTCGCACATGCGGGTGCCTTCCGCCCTGGGCCCAGAAGGCGGGCAGCAGCCCCCCGCAGGAACAGAGCCGAAAAGATCATAGCACAAGCGAGGATGCGAGGGTAGCACTCCGCAGCCTGCATGGAGTCACACCGGGCACGCCAGGCGATCCACACTCAGCTGACAGCACTGCCAAGACCCACCCTTCAGCAGCGTGTGCACTCGTGCGACCTGTGCCACGGAAAAATTGGCGGTCTCTTGTCGAGCTGGAAGCCGGGGCCAGACAAAGTCGCTGACCTGAGAGGCCAGGCGCATGCATGGGCGACACTCGCCTGTGGTGCAAGTCCGTTTCCGGGGCCCCCAGAAACCCTGTGGTGACGGGCCGCGTGGTGACCTCGGAGTCCCCAACGACTTCACCGTGTGGTCCGTCACCGCGCGGTTTGGGGACGATGGAGGCCCCAATTGTCCGAGACGTCCTCGGAGAACGGCCCGAGTCCCAATCCCGTGCGGTGACCCCGAATCCCGACTGACTCGCCAGGCGGTGTGGTCACCACACCGTTCGGGGGTCCCCGATCCGTTGCGCCAAACTTTGAGCAAGTGCCCGGGCGCCAGGAATAGAGTCGAGTCACTCCAACAGCATTCGCATGCAGAGGGAGAAACTAGAAGAAGGGGAGCGCGGAAGAGACGCGCGCCAATCGCCACCCTCGCTCATGGGCCCAAGTCTCGCTCTGGAGTCGGTGGCCGCGACGCACGCGGAGATGTCCAGGTCGGACTGTTGCTGCTGAGTCTGGTCGTGTGGCGTATATCCCATGCGTTGATCAGCGGCATGGCTCACGAGCGGCGAGCGTGTCAATATCCACGTCCTCGCGGTCTGGATGCTGAGGCGCGATCCCGCGGATATGCGGTCGCACGGACACGTTCCGCGCGGGGCATCCGCGGAAAAACGCCCCGTATCCGTTGGGTCGCGGCCAGGGGGCTGGGCCTGCGAGGCTGTGGATACGGACATTTGTTTCGCCAACGAATGGCTTCACCATTTTGAGGCTGGTAACTGTGTTGGCTGCCAGAATGCTGCGGTGAATTAGGAATGGAAAGGTGGGAACAAGACAGATCGACCCGAGACACAATGTCAATATGCGATCTGGGCTTCCGAATATTCGAGATTACGCACGAGATGATCGAGAACAAGCGTCGGAATCCGCACGAGATGATCGAAAACATACATCGGAATTCGTGTGGGGATCCGTGGCGGACACGTGTGGGATTCGGGTAGAATTCGGATCGTGCAGCCGCTCACAGTCAGGTTGCGGGTCTCCGCGATACTGCTCTGAGAAGTGCCGCTGTAGCTCAGCTGTCGCTCAGTCGTGGCGCTGGTTTCCGAGACGTTGCTCAGAGACGTCAGGCAAATTGTGATGTTGCTCACCGTCGTGCCCTCGGGTGCACGCCCAAAATCCTGCCACATGTGGATGTCGGAGTCGTGGTGGTATGCATCATGCTGTTGGCCCCCATGATGCTGCTCAGGGACGTGCAGATGTGATTGCAAGAGTCATGCTCATGCGAATGTGGCTCATCCTGATCGTCATGCTGCTGTTTCCCAACGCGTCGATCAGAGACGCGTCACAACTGCATGTCGGAGCTGTACTCTTGCCTACCGTCGCGTTGCCGGATCCCGAGGTGTTGGTCCACGACGTCTCACGCATGTATGCGGGAGACGTGTTCCCTGTCCTGCTGCTAGCTCCCGAGATGCTGCTGCGAGACGTGCACACTTTAGATGGCAGAGCCGTGCTAATGCTCCCAGTCGTGGTGACAATCCCCAGAACACTGCTCGAATACATTCTGCGTGGATGTCATACGTGCGGCACTACATGGTACGAGTCACCGTCCTGCTGCTGGACCTCATGTTGGCCCTCGAAGACGTGACATATGTGCATGTTGGAATCGTGATGTTGCTTATGACCGCACTATTGGCCACCGATTTGCCGCTCTGAGGCGCTTCCCCTGTGTATGTCGGAGCCGTGCTGCTGCACCTCATCGCGTTGCTGGTCTCTGAAATGTTGCTGTGGGACGTGCCGTCTGTGTATGTTGAAGTCGTCATTCTGCACACCATCGTGCTTCTAACCTCCGCGACGAAACACAGAGGCCCGAGACATGGAAATGGTAGAATTGCCTTACTGCGCACCGTCGTGCTGCAGGTCGGCGGAACGATGCTCACATACGCGTCACGTGCATATGTCGGGACTGGGATGCTGCCCACGGTGATGTTCAATGGCGGACGCCACCAGGCGCGTCACATAGAAATGTCGAAAAGCTGCCGTTGTACATCATCGCGGCAATGGTCTCCGAATTGGTGGGATCGACGCCGGGCAGAATCAAAGGCAGGGACCACATTGGAATCAGAACGGACACCTGGTGGAGTGGTGGCAGAGGCTGGTGGAGTGGTGGCTGCGGGCGGTCCAAAATCTGTATGGCACCAGGCGGGCCCATAGAGCGAGGTCGCGACGGGGCCCTTCTGGGAGCTGCTACCGTCGTAGAGAGGAGGATGCGAAGGGAAAACTGAAAAGAGGTAGAGTGGACGTGGAGCCCGGGGCGAGCGCGCGCAGGCCGCGCTCGGCGAGGCGCCAGTGCAGAGTGAGGTGGAGGAGAAGGAGGGAGGAGGAGTGACGCAGGCGGGAAGGAAAAGAGGCAGTGTGGTGGTGGTGGTGGTGGCTTGGGTAGCAATCTGGTGAGGCCGCGGGCACTGCCTCTTTAGCAGCACCTCCCACTCAGGGATGGCTGGGGGGCAGCTCACCACCTGTCGCAGGGGTCTAGTACCGCAACGCCACGGCGCCACTTGGTCCGAGAGACTCCCCCGGGTACCTCCCCTGGGGCACCAACCCCAGGGAGTAGGGAGTGTGGCGAGGGGGAAGGAAATGCGACGCCAACCGCATCTGGTGCCACACGCATGCCAGATTTCGTGCTGAGGCGACTGGCACAAAGCGTCGGGCACACAAGCCAGGGGCACAGAAGAGGAGGAAGGAGGGCGGATGACGGGGAGGAGTAGGGAGGAGGCGGAGGAGGAAGAGCTCTCCCTCTCCTGCACTCTCTCCTCTACCTCTGCGTGCCTCACCGTCATCAGCATCGTCATTATGTCTCAGCCTGGCTCCTGTCTCATCCTCCTCCTCCTTCTCATCCTCCTCTTCCTCCTCCTCCCACTCGTCCTCTTGCTCTTCCTCTTCCTCGTTCTCCTCCTCCTCCACGTCCCCAACCTCCCTCTTCCCTGTGCTTCTCTTCTCTTTCTCCTCCTCCTTGTCCTGGTCTCGAACTCGTCGTCATGGCCCTCCTCATCCCCTCCCTCCTCCTCCTCGGAGTGCGTGGGGAAGCTCCTCAACGGAGACATCAATAAGGAAGGGGCACGGCAGTGGATGCGGGAGCAACCGAAAATGAGGGCACATAGATACATAAACACACACATTGCGACGACATGGTGGAATTTGCAATCCGACGAATGGTGAGGACTCATGCCCCCCCTTCCCCCCCTAACCCCTTCTCCCTCCTTCTCCTCCTCTTCCTCCTCTCCTCCTCCTCCTCTTCCTCCTCCTCCTCCTCGATCGCTCTCCTCCGAGCCCCCCCCTGGGCGATGGGCCTCCGACAGCGAAGCCGCACGGTCATGGGCGGGGTGGGCTGTCAGGTCCCTATCGGCGATGAATGAGCGATTGGGGGCCGATGCATCCCCAACTGAGCATACACCCCGCCTGATGTTGCCCCCGATCCTCCCCCCTCGTCCTTGTCCTCCCCCCTCACCCATGTCCTTCCTAAACGCCTCCATCCCTTCTCCCTGCCCTCCTCCACCTCTTCCGCCAACGATGGTGACGATCGCACGATCGCCTTCGTCCTGTCGCGGTCGTCGGAGCGTGGTCGCCAGCGCCCCATGTCGGCGTGGCGGACGTCGCGCTCATGGTCGTGATCGTCGTCAACCGCGCCGTGGTCGTCATGGGCGTGGTCGTTCGTCGTGCGTCGCTCGTCGTCGATGGTCCTGGTTGGCGCGCGCCTCCGCGGCCGCTTCCGCGGAGCGCGGGCGGCGAAGGCAGCCAGCACGCCTGGCGAGGCGGCGGGAGGCGACCATCGCCGCCGTCGTCGCTGCCGCCGCCGACGCCGTCATCGGCCTTGCCCTCCTCCTCGCCGCCGCCTCGTCTTCGGTATCCTCGTCGTTCTCTTCATGTTCTTGTTGATGTTCATCGTCGTCGCCGTCGTCCGACGCGGTGCGGCGTCCGTCGTCGTCTGTCGTCGTACGTGGCAGGTCGGCCACGTCGTCGTCGCCTTCCTCGTCGTTGTCGTCCGTCGCGACCACCGCCAACCGCTCGTCGTCGCCTGGCGAAGGCACATCGCGCCGCGGGCACCCGGAAGCCGGCCGGCGTGCTCTCGGGCTAAGACGAAGTACACACAGAGACAAAGTCGGACAGGGACAAACCGAGGATCTCTGAACTCTGGCCGCTCTGGAAGATGTATTGGCCGCCGCGGCCTTCTCAGAAAGTTCCAGAACGCTCTGGAATCGGTACCCTCAGAATGGGTACGGAAAGTATTGTGGTACCAAGGCCAACAACTGTTCCTCTTCACTTCGATCAGGACTCGGTGCCAGCGTCGCCGCGGGCGCTGCCCACTTGAGACAAATGGCTGCCTGCCCGACAACGGCCGGGCCGCCGTCAATGTTGGATAACGTGTCCTGTTTGGCATCGTGCCTATTTCTTCCGTACCCGGGTCGGGCGTCCATATGGAACGACTTATCCCCGACGCTTTCCAGGACAATGTCAAGGCCAATGCAAACCCTGCTCGAAGAACTACCTGCGGGAACGACCTGTTGTCGCTGGTCTGAGAGGCCTGTGAACAGCCAAGGTCAAAACGGCAAATAGGGAGAGCCGCGCAACAGAAAAAAATACACACTTGCAGAATATATATATATATATATATATATGTATTGATGTTCTTTGCTCCCCGATCAGTGCTTGCACTGAAGGGGTCCTCGCTGACGTTGAAAAATTTGGCGAAAATGCCCGGCCGATTTCGATGAGAGAGAGAGAGAGAGAGAGAGAAGCTGAGTGCAAAAAAAAACGCACATGAGCACGAAAAACAGCCTCAGAGGGCATCGCAGTACCGCGTGACGGTTGCGTGCCAGGCTGCGATGGACTGCACTGAATCTTGCCACAGATGCGCAAGGGCCTCCTCACCCCGCGCTGCCCGGACAGCGTGCGCATGTATCTCAGAACACCACGTTTTTCTCGGTCGCCCCCTCCTCCTTCTGAACATGGACAGCGCCAGGTCGTGCGAAAAGGGCCGGAAAACCGTCAGCCTCACGGGGTCATCGCCCGGCTTCCGGGCAACGTGCCCCAGGAAGAGCAGCTGGCGGCGAAGCAGAGCGTTGCTCAGCGGCTTGGACCCGGCGCGCTGCAGGACGCACTCATTGGACACCCTGCTAATGTAAGAATGTGGAATGCGTAGAATCTTGCGGAGGCACCTGGCTTGGAAGGCGTCCAGTCTGCGAAGCTCTTGTTTGTTCAGAAAAGACGTGTGAAGACAGTAGAGCAGCTTGCTTACCACGCAAGCATCAAAGATGCGCAGTTTTCTCACATTGTCCAGTGTTGAATGAGACCACACCCTAGACAGAGTCTCAAACTCGGCCCTGGCAGCGCCCAGTCGGCGGGATAGCTCCGTGCCGACTTTCCCATCGCTAGTAATCAAGCTCCCGAGGTAAATTATGCCGTCCTTCTGCAGGATTTCATTCCCGTCCGGCTTCAGGATGCACGCATTGCACCCTACCGACAGAACTTCCAATTTTCGCCAATTGAATTGGAGACCATATTGCTGTCCAGCTCGCTGCACGCAGTGCATGTACTCGGAGGCCTCCTCGCCCGTGGTGGCCACGAGCAGCGTGTCGTCTGCGTACACCAGCTCGTGCACCTGCTGCGTCATGTCCAGGTTGGGCGTCGCCTCCCCCTTCGCGTCGTGGAGCAGAACCGTCATGACAATAGCAAACAGAAACGGCGATAAAGGGCACCCCTGGCTGATTCCGAAATTCTGCGGGTAAGCGTTGGACACCGATCCCGCGTCTCGGACTTCGAACGTCCGGTCCGTGTAGATCGCTCGCACAACGCTGATGAAATCCGACGGGATGCCGAATCTCTGCAGGGCCCGGCACAGTGCATCCGGCGAGACGCTATCGAATGCCTTCGCCCAGTCAAGGGCAAGGAGCACCAGACGCCCGTCTTTTTCTGCCCACGTCTTTTCCATCAGGCGCCTGACCAAGAAAATCGCATCCGCTGTACCGTGCTTGCTTTTGAACCCAAACTGGGTACTCCATACCCTCTGTTCTGCGCCTCCGATCTTGAGTCTGTTGAGAAGAACTGCAGTGTCCCGGCAACAAGCGTCGCAGCAAACGCCATGAGAGCGCTTTCGGCTACACCTAGTTACACCTAGTTACACCTAGTTACACCTAGTTACACCCAGTTACACCTAGTTACACCTAGTTACACCCAGTTACACCTAGTTACACCTAGTTACACCTAGTTACACCCAGTTACACCTAGTTACACCTAGTTACACCTAGTTACACCTAGTTACCCTCAGTTTCCCTCAGCTACCCGAGTTAAGGCATGACGCAGTCAGTCTGAATCGGAGTGCAGGCATTCGAACCTGGAACCTCGGTCCTCGATCCTCGCCTCCAGGTCGGGTTCGTCCTGCCAACTCATCTTCGTCATCATCGTCACCATCACCCGCGTCCTCCTCCTCCTCCTCCTCCTACTCCTGCTCCTCCATTTCCTGCTCCTCCGCCTCCTCGTGGAAAACCTTAAAAAGGAAATGTTGTACCTATACGACCACCCTTCGGGTGATAAGGAGGTGAGGGGGGGGGAGGGACCAACGTCGCACTCGATCGATCTCACTCTCGATATCACTATCGATCTCACGTTCGGTCTCACTATCGATCTCACTATCGCTCTCCCATTCGGTCTCACTATCGACTTCACTATCGATATCACAATCGATCTCACATTCGGTCTCACTATCGATCTCACTATCGATCTCACTATCGATCTCACATTCGGTCTCACTATCGATCTCACTATCGATATCACAATCGATTTCACAATCGATCTCACATTCGGTCTCACAATCGATCTCACTATCGATCTCCCATTCGGTCTCACTATCGATTTCACTATCGATATCACAATCGATCTCACATTCGGTCTCACTATCGATCTCACTATAGATCTCACAATCGATCTCAAAATCGGTCTCACCATCGATCTCACTATCGATATCACAATCGATCTCACAATCGATCTCACATTCGGTCTCACTATCGATCGCACTATCGATCTCACAATCGATCTCACAATCAATCTCACATTCGGTTTCCCTATCGATTTGACTATCGACATCACAATCGATATCGCAATCGATCCCACATTCGGTCTCACTATCGATATCACTATCGATATCACTATCGATCTCATTCGATCGATCTCACAATCGATCTGACGATCGATCTCACTATCGATCTCACTATGGATCTCACTATCGATTTCCGATTCGGTCTCACTATCGATCTCACAATCGATCCCGCAATCGATCTCACAATCAATCTCACATTCGGTTTCACAGTCGATCTCACAATCGATCTCACAATCGATCTCACAATCGATCTCACATTCGGTCTCACATTCGGTCTCACTGCCGATCACAATCGATCTCGCAATCGACGTCATCATCATCATCATCATCATCATCATCAACATCAACATCACCAACATCATCATCATCATCATCATCATCATCGCCATCATCAACATCATCATCATCATCATTACCATCATCATCATCACCATCATCATCATATCATCATCATCATCATCATCATCATCGTCATCATCATCATCATCATCATCATGATCGGGACACCGACGGGACACCGACGGGACACCGGCGGGACACCGGCGGGACACCGCGCGCCACCGGCCGCCCGGTGGAGAATCATTTGGTCCGGCCGCGCCTCAGCCATAGAGGACACCACCGGGACAGCGGCGGGACACCGCGCGCCACCGGCCGCCCGGTGGAGTATCATTTGGTCCGGCCGCGCCTCAGCCACAGGAGACTTTCCTCTCGCCCGCCCACGCAGCGTCGCCTCGCCCGCACGCACGGCACGCACGAACACGAAACCGAAATCGATTTCCCGGTAGGGGGGCTCTCCGTTCCACTTCGATCTCACCCTCTCACCTCCGATGAACGTTGCTTGTTATATAGAGTTTCCCTTGTCATCGTCATCGTCATCGTCGTCAACAGCATTGTCGTAATCGTCAACAACACCATCACCATCATCTTGACCGTCACCGTGGTCGTCGTCAACATCGTCGTCGGCATTGTCATCATCATCATCACCATCATCGCAATCATCACCATCAGCACCGCCGTCGGTATCATCGCCATCATCGTCATCGTCATCATTGTCATCACCATCGTCGCCGTCGTCGTCATCACCATCGTCATAGTCATCGTCATCAGCGTCGCCGTCATCATCATCAACATCGTCATCATCGTCATCATCATTATCGTTATCGTCAACGTCGGTATCGTCCCCATCGTCGCAATCGTCATCATCGTCATCATCGCCATCATGAACATCATCGTCGCCATCGCCGTCGTCTTCGTCGTCCTGCCAACTCGTCATGAAGGACAGGTCATGGGAGAGGGGGGGAATGAAGGATAGGGAACGCGAGAAGCACCAACCAATCGACGTCTCGAGTGTCGGCCTGCTGGCAGCCGAGCGTACGCAAATTCACGCAACCTGCCAGGCCCGAAACAAAAACCCTGGACTGTGGAAGCGACGCGCATGCGTGTAGCACGGAATCGGTGCACAGGAATGCCCATTTGCAGGAACCGCCACAAGAGGAGGAAAGGAATGGGGAGGGGGAGGAAAGACGAGGGGGAGGAAGGGGGGAGGGGGACGAACACAAATGCTGGCAAGTATTAGGCTGCGTGCCTGACTTCACCCAGTCCGGCACAAATCAAGCAGCCGCAAAAGAGGGGAAGGAGGAGAAGGGGAAGG